CCATACTACTCACCTGCGCCTAAGGTAGAGTACAAATCTCCTCCACCACCGTACGTCTACAGTTCACCACCACCACCATACTACTCACCTGCCCCTAAGGTAGAGTACAAATCTCCTCCACCACCGTACGTCTACAGTTCACCTCCTCCACCATACTACTCACCTTCTCCTAAGATTGACTACAAATCACCACCACCACCGTACGTCTACAGTTCTCCTCCTCCACCATACTACTCACCTTCCCCTAAGGTTGATTACAAATCACCTCCACCACCATACGTTTACAGTTCACCTCCTCCACCATACTACTCACCTTCCCCTAAGGTTGACTACAAATCACCTCCACCACCATATGTCTACAGCTCACCACCACCACCATACTACTCACCTTCACCTAAGGTAGACTACAAATCTCCTCCACCACCATATGTCTACAGTTCTCCACCACCACCATCGTACTCACCTTCTCCAAAAACTGAGTACTAAGCTTCATCTCCACCTTCGTATTGCCCGAAATTGTAATGAGATTCTTATATAAGCTGCCGAGTTTTATTTCATTTCATATTTGCTTTTGTTCTTGATGCTATTCATATCTAATAAATTTTAATTTTCTTGCTATTGGATTAAACATTTTGCTACAAAATGTTCTCATGGTTTTATGCTTTTTCTTTTCTTTATGTAAAGGTTGCTTGCAATCTATATGAAGTCCTTTGCAAAATTAAATTTTGTAGTTCGTATCATTGACCTTACATGAGTCTTGTATATGAATTGCATACCTAAATTGCATGGATTATTTTAATTCATTACAATTTCAAATCCTCAAGTTTTTTAACTTAAGGAGGTTTTGTTTTCCTACCTACTCATTGACCTAATTCTGGTATAGATTCAAACACTCAAACGAAAAGCAATTACGACGCATTCCTATTATTTTAAATGAAGAACCGTTCTTTTAGTCTACCATTCTTTTGTATTACATGAACTCTTGAAGATAAAAATAAGGGTAAGTTAATTCCCGAAGCCTAACTTTCTTCAAAACACCTGCACGAATATCACGCTCACGAACAAGAATGAAACCACGATAGAACACAATGTCGAATCTATAATCGCACGAAGATCTTTAAGTTTGTTTTCTTCTCTTTGGTGTATCTATTTAAGAAGGTCACGGGAATAAATATTTGTTTATTTTCGACATACATAAGAAGGTCAAGGGCTCGGTTTTCACTTTATGGGGTTCTCAAGCTGGGAAAACTTCCTTTTATGTCTCCGTTCTCAGGGACAAAACAAATCCGTCATCACTCTCCATCAAGTAGCAATTGGGCGAGAGAGGATGTTCAACAACAAGAGTCTACGGGCGTGTTCAACAACTGTTCAAAACGATTGACCTGCGTGTTCATGACACTTGTTACGCGAGACGTCAAATCCCGCGTTCCACTAATACTTTGGGTTTATGGTTCCAAGGTACTCAATATTTTAAATTTGATCTGTTTAGCCCAAGGGAATGTATGCAACCTCTGTTCTTTTATCTTATGTATTAGTCCCTTTATGATGAATATAAAACAAGAAATTTTAACCAAGGAAAATGAAATGAAATATGCTAAAAACGTAGTACTAAAAAAATATGAGTATTGATAGCACATTACGATCGCGTATTTTTAGTAACTGATATTAAAGATGATACTTGAATTTTGGTAACAATATTATAGCATTTCAGAAACGCTAAACCCTATAATAACATAGCCGAAACTAAAATCACTTAGGACCACCAATATTTAACGAAACATTTGCCCAGACCGCCAACACTTAGCCAAAAAATAAGAATAAGCTCAAATTAAAAATCAAAACCTAATTTCTATCTTCTCCATCCTCTTTCTCTCTTTTAAGCTCTACAAGAAAACCTGCGTTTTGCAACTAAACTTTGCGACCGAATTATTAGTCGCAAATATTTGCGACTATTTTGTGACTTCTTAACGACCATTTAGCGACCACAATATTTACAGATGGAATATAGTCGTTATTCTGCGACTAAAACAAATAGTCTTTACTTAGTCGTTAATTTGCGACGATTTTAAAACCAATTACATACTAATTTATTATAGTCGCAAATGGGTGGCTGATATGCGACTGATGTGCGACTCAACTTTTGGTCTCAAATGCTCGTCGCAATTGAGTCTCAAAAGAGCGACTAGTTAACAACCACCTGTTATAGTTACACTTTAGTTGCAAATTAGTTAGAAAGAGTTGCCTCAAAACACGTTGAAATGCAGAGAAAGCGACCGGTTTGCGACTAGCACCTGAAGATTTTGCGACTGACACCTGAGAAAGCGACCGGCTTGCGACTATTTACCAACTATCGATTTTTGGTTTTACAAATTTCACATTTTAAATTTGTTTACATATAAAGTTAAACAATTCTACACTAGTTTGATGTTACTTAGTAATAAAAACAAAACCAAAGTCATATATATTGATGTTTACAAACAAAACATTCAAAACTACCAAATCTCTTTGTCTTGTTACATTACTCTTATGAGTAATGTTTAGAGATTTAGTAAAATATCTATATTACTTGGGTTTTGCAAAGTTTTTCAACCTTAAACTAATATATGTCCTCTATAACACTAATATGAGTGTTTGTGAGTGATATATATCACCCTTTTGGATCACAATGTGTAGATTTCTAAATTTTGTCTTGTGACTAATAGATAACAGTCGCAAAAGTGCCACCATTTTCTAACTATTGTTCATTTAGCGACTATTTTGCGACAAATATTGTAACTATTTGCCGACCAATGTTGCGACTATTTTGATACTAATTGTGAAATTTCTAAGATTTTTGCTAAGTGTTTGGTCGAACTTAGTAATAAGAACTCAACCAAGATCATAAATTTTGATGTTTACTAACAAAACATTCACAAGTACCAAATCTATTTATACTTTTACATTACTCATATGATTAATGTTTAGGGATTTAGTAAAATATCTATATTACTTGAGTTTAGCAAAGTTTTTCTACCTAAAACACTTTTATATCCTCTATACCACTAATATGAGTGTTTGTGGGTGATATATATCACCATTTTTTATCACAATGTGAAGATTTCTAAATTTTGTCTTGTGACTAATATAAAACAGTCACAAATGACTCGCTAAATTGGGACTAGTTTGGGACCCCTGTCCATTTAGCGACTGTTTTGGGACGTATCTTCTGACTATTTACCGACCAATATAGCGACCATTTAGCTACGATTTGTGAAATTTCTATGATTTTGGCTAAGTGTTTGGGCGGTTTCGATTCCCCCCATTTTTTTTGGTTTGTCACTAGTTTGCGACTAAAGAGCGACCAATACACTTAATTATTAGGTTGAAACAAAGTCGATCCTACCCTATACACACCAAATATTCTCAGTTAAATGAAAAGCCCACTCTCTATTACTCTTCATCCTCGACACTTAAGAAAAAAAAACCCTATTCTCACCCTTCATCCTCGACATCTCCGACCAAACCACTCTCAAACCCTAGACTGCGATATCTTAAACTTCACCCTCCGCATCTCCGACCATCACATGGCTTCCTGTAACACCCGCGATCCTCAATAGGATCGCCGGGGAAGACTTGGTTCGAGGGAAAAGCGGAATCTCGGGCTAAGTCCAAAGGAAGCGGATAGAGTGGCTTCCAAAGTGCGTGACAAGCTGAAACGAGCTGGAAGTGTTGAAGCTAACCAGCTCGACTAGCTGGACCAGCTGCTCGGTAGCTCACCTAAGCTGGACGGAGTGAAGGTCAGCTGGTTGAGTGACAGTCTAGCTAGGTCAGCTGGTCGGGTGGGAAGGTAGTAAGGCGGTTGGGTTGACGGTTACATATAACGGCCGAATAGACGCGAACGAACGGTTGGTCAAAGATGCATGAATGAGCGATTTCAACGAACCTATGCGAACAAGCGTGTTCCACCGAACGGGCACCTATGGGGAAAAACGGTTTTAATCGTAAAAACTATAAATAGAAGGCGATTCCTTCATTTTCACGACACGCGCAAACACCTAAAATCCAGAGGAAACTCTAAGGCATTTGCCGAGAGGAATACGGTTAAAAGGAGAGTTTGCGGAGCCGAGCGTTCTATCGGCGATCGAGAGAGGCAACACGGATCATTCACCGATCGAATCCGTGTAGTCAAGGTGGGTGTAAAGCCGTGGTAATGCCTCGGAGATTACGATCTCCGGACGTGCGGATGGTATAAGGGCTAGAATATTGTGGGTTGTTTGATTAGTTCGTTGATCGGCCTAGTCATTCATGAGCATATTCATATCGTGCATACTTTGTGAGGAGTAACGGTTTGGTTGAGACGGGGAGGCGGCTCGGCAAGGAATCGGCGGATCCGCGAGGATCTACCGGTTCTAGGCCGAACTGATGCGCTTACTTCCTCTCTCCGATCCGTTTTCCGGACCAAAGGATTATAAGAACGTATAGTGCATTGCATGGACTTGCATCCACTAAGTAAAAGACGAGTACTTATGTCTTGTTGGTTTTAGGGAAGGATGGTGATCGTGGGAAGGATATGGCTTAGGCGCGAGAGACTCATGGTCGGGAAGATGGGTGGTGGTGAATCGGGTAGAATAGGATCGATTATATGAGTTGTAATAGCTTATATGCAAACTCATAAGTTGTATCGAATCCTTTACTTATCTAATAAAGTATCCGATCGTTTGTTTTACTCTAAGGTTGCATAATGACTCTAAATAATGAATCGCGGAATAATATGAAACGGATTGTCTTAAGGAATGAACCCTAAAATTTGGCTAAGGATCGGACCACTTAGTGATCCGTTCGGGAAGAACCTCTCCGGGCTTAGGGAGTCCGGGTTGGGGTCTTTCAAGTTGGTATCAGAGCATTTACGGTTCTAGGACTATGAGTTTTGGGTTTGGGGATCACCACTCATCGGCTTAATGAGATCTCGCGGTAGATGTTCTTTCTCTCTAAACGATTACTTTGAGTTATATGACTAACTTGTGAGTTTTCGCAGATGGGTAAGAAAGACAAGAAGGGAAAGAGTAAGAAGGATAAGGACGTCGTTGAGGAGACCTTGACCGCCGAGGAGACGCGGGTCACTGAGGAAACAAGGGTCGAAGCAACGATGGATGGAATAAACCCGGCCGGACCTGAGGCTGGACAGAAACTTCTGGTTCACGAAACTCCGGAGAGTAGTGATGTAACGGAGGAAAAAGAGGCACCGAATGCACTTCCATCGGCCCAAGAACAATGGGATACGATGAAGGCAATGATGGCACAAATGGCCGCATTGACTAAGGCACTCGTACCGGATCCTGTGGTACAAGTGAAGGAGAACAAAACGGACGCGGATGCGGACGTAGATGTGGAGACTGTTGAAGTCAATCTGCCTACGAACTCTTCAAGGAAGCGGGGAGACTACTTAAGTTTACTCGCGCACGTCTCGAAGTTGGGAACAAAGCATTTCACGGGGAGTTCCGACCCGATCGTGGCGGATGAGTGGAGGACTCGGCTCAAAAGAAACTTTAACTCCACTCGATGCCCGGAGGATTACCGGAAGGACATTGCGATCCACTTCTTGGAGGGCGATGCACATAACTGGTGGCTAACCGTCGAGAAACGGAAAGGTGATTAAATCCAATCCTTCGCAGATTTTGAGGAAGA